TCATATAATTGTTACAGGCAAAATTAAACTGATATATTGCTTTTGACGTTCCACTTTCTCTTCTATTTTCTTTGAACGAAGGGACAACAAACATTTTTGCCTTATTATGCCTGAATATTTGAACAAGCCTGAATATTTGTAAATCAAGTAACACTGGCATTCTAAAAGCTCTCAGAACTCTAAATTTCAAATCATGCACATATACTCGGAGGTTATGAACTCTTCGAGAGAAAGCCGTTTGAGTAAATTACATTGCGTGCAGCACTTGGCTTAGCTTCCAGACTCTGCTGCATCAGAATGATATCTTGAACTTGAAGTGATCTCCAGCAGAATTAGCCAGTTGGCCTCATCCTTGAAGAAGAAAGTAATTGAGATTGCGTGCCAAAAGGTCCTGGTACATCTTCCATTATTTGTTATGAAGCTGCAAAAGGCCTGAAGTTAAGGACTTGGAACTAAATACATGGACTCAACTGGATTCATTCAAAAACATAAATGAATTAGATAAACGCCCACTTGATGGAACATGAACCTGTTATCGGGGGTAAACTTCAGTAATGGATGCTTCATTTGTAGACCATAGGATTGAACAGGTAGATTGGTCAGAATCAACAACATTGTTTTGCTTTTGCCTGTTTGGTGTTCTGCGCATGAAAGCTGCTGGCTGTCGAGCAATTGACAAAGTAACAGAATAACTGTTGAGCATCAGTGCTATAGTTGCCATTGAAGGTCTATCAGAAGGATTCTCCTGAACACATAATAAAGCAATATGAATGCATCTTATGACTTCATTTCTTGAATGAGAACCTCTCAGTGTTGGATCCAATAACTCCAAAGGTGTTCTTTGTGTCCAGTTATCCCAGGCCTGTGGTTACACAAAGAGTCAGAGCCCAAATTTGGAATCTACCAGTTGTTACTAACCAAAATCCATATTTGAGACGTATTTGCAGCTGACATTGAAGGAAAAGATGGTATACTTGCTGAGTTTTCACTTACGTAGCTTAAGAGGTCATCTGCTTGACGTGATTGATTAAAATCAGTGTTCTTCTTACCAGTAACAATCTCCAAAACTAATATACCAAAGCTGAACACATCTGATTTAACAAAATTGCCCACGCATTGCATATTCTGGAGACATATAACCACTGCAAAGAAAGATTATTAATCTATAGGTCGAGAGAAAATAATGAATAACTCTTGCCAAAGAAAATGTCTAAAACTTACAAGGTTCCAACTATTCTTCCTGTGTTCACTTGAGTTTGATCTCCGTGAAAGATTTTTGCCATACCAAAATCTGAAATTTTTGGATTCATATTGGTGTCTAATAAACATTACTCGCTTTGAGATCACGATGTATTATTCTAAGCTGAGAATCTTCATGAAGATAAAGAATTCCTCGAGCAATTCCCATTATGATCTTGTAACGCCTTGACCAATCAAGCATTGTTTTCTTTTCAGAGTCTACAAATCCATCAAAGTGAAATTATCAAGTGAATAAAAACAGGATTACTTGGTAGAAAAGGGTAACATCATGTGAATACTAAGAAATAACTCTGCTTTTGAATATTTACATCAACGGAATATTCGCATCCAAGACTTGATTTGTATAGGGATGTCAAAAGCTAGAAGTATTGAGAAAAGGTCAAAGTTCAAACCAAATAGAAAGTGATCAAGGCTTTTGTTTGGGATGTATTCATAAACAAGTATCTTCTCTTGCCCCTCCAAGCAAAAACCCAACAGCCTCACTAAATTCCTATGTTGAAGCTTGGCTACAAGAGCAACTTCATTCTTAAATTCCAAAGCACCCTGCAAGGAGGTTACTGATAACCTCTTCACAGCAATCTCCTGTCCGCTTGGGAGGATACCCTGTGCACATGCTGGAAATTAGACCAATTTTTCTCAATTTAACGGACAGATATAACAAAAAGTAGCATTAGAAAGTCAATTACCTTATAAACTGCACCAAATCCACCTTGGCCAATCTTGTTCTCGTCTGAGAACCTTTTTGTGGCAGCTTCTATTGTCGCCAATTCAAATTGCAGAGACTCTGTGTCTGTAAGATCATTCCCCACTGTATTTCAAATAGATGGAAAGAAAGCTGTGAGCCACCAAATTACTATCTTGTCCAATATTGGAAACAAGAATTGAAATGTAACACAGTGACAACAATTATTAAGATAGGAAGGAGATATTACTGTCATCCTCTGCGAAAGTATTAAACTTCTTGCCCTTGCTAGCCCTCTTACGCAGGAAACAGCAAGCCGCAACAAAGAGTGTCACAGAAACAACAATCGGCACAATAATCGCAACAATTATTGCGATTTTGCTTTTTCCTATAATCAACCCAAGAAAAGAAGGATAAAGAAAAGAACTATAACTTAATAAACCTCTGGACACTGTCCCCTTTGCTCACATCTAGACATAATACGGCTGCTTATCAAATTTCTGATAGGATTAGATAAAGTGAAATTAAATTTTTTTAAGGCTGAAATTAAAAGCACCAACGAACAACTTGATCTATTTAAACCTATGTAACTTATTCTTGTAAACTGACGTGTATGAACAAAGTTTGCCCTCTTCTTGCGTAGCTATATCACTGAACAGATTGAGATAGATTACCAGTTTATTTCCTGAGGCTAGTCAATGTATATGCATTCACTTGCTTTTCTCTCAGCATTAGGATTCAGAAAATTACCTGATCGAGGAGGACCTGGCCCTGCAGAAGATGTAGTTATGCTGTAAAATGGGTAAAGTTCATATCTAATGTTACATGCCGGAAGAAGAACCGTTGCCCCCTTCTTGTTGCCACAGCAATTTGGCAGAGCTCCAATGGCGCTTTGGAGACACATGTTGCAATCAAAAGATGTCAGGTCTGGGTAACACTGTAAAAGGCCGTACAACGTTTGTGACGATGTTGGGTTAACTTGTCCCGTGGCAAATTTTTTCCCCGTCTGGGAACCCTGAGCTTCTGCCGCCAATTTTTGCAACAAATCCGACAACAATTTATTGAACTGATCCTGTTCGGCGCTAGCTATAGTACCGTTACTCGATAAGTCCGTGGAAGGGACGATGTTGTTGAAGGTGTTGTTCGAGTAACGAAGCATACAAACATCGTACCAGACGATAGACTCCGTTTGGTTTGGACACAGGCGCCTTATCTCTTTGGCGGCGTCGGAGACGCACTCTTGACACAGGGTGGGGGTGGCATCGCCGCGGCAGAGGAAGAGGCCGTTGATGACGGCGGGAGTTCCCTGATCCAAGTTGGTACGGTAGAAACCGTCGTGGAGGGAGGCGTTGGAGGTAAGAACAGAGAGGAGGACATTCAAATTAGCTTCAAATGGGCTATTGGGTTTGTGTGAGTGCGTCTGTACAGGCGTTACGCTGAATATAGGAGATGCTTCGCTTGTGAAACTCAGAAATGGAAACAGAGCGAGAAGGATGAAATGTGTTGCAGAGAATTTGGGGAAGGACATATTGCTCAACACAATTCTCTTCAGCTCCAACTCCGCTGAAAGGACAAAGGCATATAAGTTTATGGCATTCAGTTAACAACTCTATCGATGTCGTTACCTATTGATTTCAATCTTTCAGGCTTTGCGTTGAACTGTGGGCGGATTGAGGGGAACGCCATTTCTGATACAAGTCAACAAAGCACCTTTCTGACGATACCTTTCTATATCAAGGCTGCGCTGGGAAGATCCTTAGTTACTGTTATTTTTTATCCTATTATAAAATTTTATTAATAACCTACAAATAAAATTTATTTATTTATAATTAGGAGTGAGAGTACTGTCCTAAATATAAGACTCTTTTATAGTAAATTTACACTAAAAAAGAGTCTTATTTAGGACTGAAAGAGTAGTATTTATGAGAAGGAAACTCTTATACATATTCATATATACTTAGAACAATATCTTATCTAAACGGTAAAAATACATTTGTTACACTTTTTTCAAAACAGTAACAGTAATTTCTACTGGTGTTTTGTGAAATTAAATGATTTCATAAAACAAGTTTTCTAAAAAAATTTACATAAATAATTTTTCGAGTAATTAATTTTTTTACGGAAAAAAAAACTCTTTGAAATTGTTTGGTTGAATGTGGCATCCAAATACCGCCTAAACCTGTTAAGGTAATTTGCTCAAACACAACTTTTTAATCATTAAGATTAAGTTCTTAATTTCATTTTTCAAAATTGAATACTTTCTTTTCTCTCGTCATTTTTTTTTTTTTTTTTGAAGAGACAAAATTTTTTAGAAAGCTAATCTAAATTCTCCATCCACCAAGTCCCATCATGCCAGTTGCCTGAGAGTATTTTTTTTCCGGGGGTTAACATCGGGGATCATGCCACCGATGGCAGGACGGATGGCATCCAAAATTCAAAAGAAGAATAGTCAAAGAGGGTCATTCATACGTCAGCCGTGATGATGGAGAAATAAGTTAATAACCCGCACAGTAAGACAATGACTCCTTTTTTTTTTTTTTTTAAATGACTTCATGAGTCAAAATCGACGGCCGGCTGATACCCCACATATTTTGTTATTGATTTGATTTATTGATTATTGATAAATTCCCCAAGTACCATACCAAATACCAATTGCTCTTCTGCACAAATAAATTATTCGACATTAACTATTACCATATAAAAATATTGCATCATTTTAAAAATTTTTAAGAAAATACTACTGCAAAGTTAAAAATATCACGCATGTAAAGGAGAGAGAGAATTTTTTAATAAGTTTAATTTAAAAAATAAAAAATGTTTTTTAAAATTTTAATGGAAAATTGTAAGATAAAAAAATAAAAATTAATTAGAAGTTTTAAATTTTATTTCTTCAATTAAAATTTTGTTCCCTCCCTTTCTCTCTATTTCCTTCCTACCGAGGACTCTATAATTTTGTTACAATGTTTTATAATTAGCAATTTTCAGTGAAATATACACTGGTCAATGGTCAATGCATATACAAAAAAATACTTCAAACTAAAACTCAGGCTGCTGCCCTTCCATCAGACGCAACTTCTCCTCCTACCTCACTGCGGCAGGTGGCACTTCCCAGGCTCTTCCAAAGCTCAGTCTTGGGCTGAACTTTCATTAATATTTTGTCCTAATTTTTAACTTCCCAAATTTTCTTCCGAGTCATGCCACCCCTCATCCATACGATTATACTTCAGGCAAATTCTGCATTTTGATTCAGGGGAAATAAGTCAGAAGCCTGGATCAGAGCTTGGCAATAGTAAATATAATAACTTTCAAAGGATTGACTTCAGAATCTAATCTTATCTTACCGTTTTCCTACACAACACTAGCATATATCTTCCTTGTTTTCGAGCGAAAGAACAGAAGCCGAAGGCAAAAAGTGTTGCCGAAGCAACAATTGGGATGATGAATCCAGAATCACTGAAACATGGCTCCTTCCTGTATCAGTATTGGTCCAATCACAAGTCAATCAAATTGGCATATGTTAGCTAACATACAAGGCCGAATCAAAACCCTCTAATTATAATCATGCTAATACTTTGGATAGCTAATAACTATGCAGAACCACTTTGTCATCAGCAACCAAACACTCGAATAGCAAAACGAAAATCCGGTTAATGTTAGATATTGGGATATCTGGGCTTTCGAGTACCTGAAGGACGAGATTGAACGGCGGGAGGATTCGATGATGGGGTGGTATTGAAAAATGGAAAGAATTCATATCTGATGTTGCAGCCAGGAAGCAACACCGTCGCTCCCCTTTTTCCGTCACAGCAGTTCGGAACAGAGGCGATGGCGCTTCTCAACACATATTGCAGTCAAACGCCGTCAGATCCGGCGTGCACTGTACTAATCCGACAACTTCTCTGTTCTTGTGAAGTTCACTTCCTTCGTCTCAAATTTCTCCTTCTGAGAAATCACAGCTTTATCCGCCAGAGAATTTAGCATACCGGCCAGCAACTCATTGAACCTCTCCTTATCCTCCGGAGCTACGTTCTTCGTATTAGACAGGTCAGTGGAAGGTACGATGTTGTTGAGAGATTCGTGGGAGTATCGAAGCATGCAAACGTCGTACCAGATTATGGCCTCTTTCTGAACTGGGCAACGGCGTTTTATCTCTCCAGCTGCGGTGGAAACGCAATCACCGCAGGTTGCGGCAAGGGTGTCCCGCGGCAGAGGAAGAGGCCGTTGATGACGTTGGCAGTACCGTCGCCTAGTCGTGTTCGGAAGAAATGGCTGCCTTGGGTGGCGTTGGATGAGAGATAGGAGAGGAGGAGGTTGAGGTTGATCTGAAATGTGGAATTTGGCCGGTATTTGACGGAATCTGTGCAGGCATGAGAGCTGTAAATCGGAGCTGCTTCACTGAGAAAGAAGAAGAGGAAGCTAAAGAGGAAGACGAAAACAGAGGACTTGAAATTAGGCATTCTGGGGATGTCCCTCTGGACAAGGGTCCTGCACTGGTGTGTTAGCGGCACAGTTCTGACACTAAAAAAAATTATTTTTTAGTTTGTGTTTGTTAAAGATGTTGTTTGAGAATCATGTCCTATTCTAATACAAGTATACGGCCGGTGGGACATGAAAAAGAGAGACAATAGAAATGCAAGGGTGTATGGTAAATTTACTTGTACCATCATGATTGACTTAAAGGATTAAAATAACATGATCTTTTTAAGTCAGGTGCGAGGAGTGAAACGAAGTTAGGCAGCAATGAGCAACTGAACCAACTTTCAAAGTGGGGACCGTGTGGTGGCTCTCTGTTCACTTTTTACGGAGAGTGAACCAACCAGAACAAGAAACTACTGCATAATCCACTGGAAATAATCACAAAACGAGATACTACATGGGATCCCCAGCATCTTGGCCCACATGCTTTGTATAGTGACTTGTGAAACGTGACCTTCCCTGCTGAACTAGTCCCTACCAAAACCCAAAAGCGAGGAATATCTCGGTGCAGCTAATTGGATGAGAGGCTACATTCATTACTCATTTTCTTATCTTCACATGATGGAGCTCCACGTAAGCCCCAACCAGTTCTCTTGCCTTTTTTTTTTTTTTTTTTTTGTCTTTCATGTTTTTCAACTTACTCCACTGGGAAAAA